GGGGAGGGGGAGATATAGTCCAAGATTTGTGACTAAATCTTTTACTGCATAAACTGCATGGACCAGTCTCTCATTCTAAAAAGGGGGGACTCCTATGTGTACTTTGTAAGGTTTTGAAGTCTTTTTTTATCCCCTATAATATGAAAAATGTTTCTGAAGTTAAGCTTCCTAAGTGTCCGTAACGGATGCAGGGTGATGAGCGCAGGGCACCGACAGGCCAGGGCTTGGGTTTCCACACACTTGGGGGACGAGACCCTTGGCAACCGGCGGGACCCTCGGTGACCGGCGAGGGGGCCGCAGAGCCCTGGAGGGGGCCTGACCCCTGAGCTCAGCCCCGAGCGCTGCGGGCAGGAGGCCGGGTCGCGGGCCGGCAGTGAATGCAAATGCCCAGCCAGACAGCCACGCGAGAACGCCGTGTCCTAGGAGAGGGGTGCGGGGGAAAGGGCCCTTTCCAGCAGCCTCGCCTCCCGCACACTCGCACCTGCCCACGTCCACCTGCCGCCGGGGGCTGCGCCCCCCGGAGCAGGGACGCGCGGGGGAGGCCGCAGGGCGGCTGGACCCAGAGGAAGACGATGGGAAACGCCTGTGAGGAGGGCGCCTCGGCACCGCGGGGGGTTTACCATCAAACTTACTGAAAAAAAATCTTATTTTGATAAATTTATTAAAAATGTTCTGGCCACCATGGCCAGAAGAATATACCTAAGGAACTAACAGTACAGGTAGAACAAGACCCCTACTGTACAGGACGAGGCCTGACAAGCCAGCCCAATAATCGCAGCCCCCCCAGTTCCCATAGAAAGAACCAGTCACGCTCCGGCCAAGCATGACCCCATTACTCATTGTAAGACATTGTGTTTAAATCGTTCCTTTTGTGTTGCTAAAGGGCCCCCATTCTTTCCTGTACCCAAAGCTGACAGCCTGACAAATTCTTGGAAACCCCTTTCCTGCAGTGCCTTTGTGGTTCCTGAGCATAAAGTGAGAGAAGATGAGGGTCGGGGCTGCCGTTCAGCCCTTACATGGGGGAGACGCCACACCCGTAGCCGCTGGCCGGCTAAGAAAGGCGCCAAAATTCAAACACAAACTCCGGGGGTCGTCTGTCGCGGGTCCCCCCAGAACAAAAACACAAAACGTTGTTTGAAAAGGCAGGCACACAGACAGACTTGCCCCGATGGTGTCTGCGGCCGCAGGATTCACGGAAAACGGTTTCGTTTTGCTCTGTGTAAATCTCTCCAGGCCACGTTTTAAACCCGGGAGGGAAGGCAGCGCGGAAAAGACTTGTCCTTTAAAACCCGGCTGCTAGGAGTTCCTAAGAGCGGAGGCGCAACCGCCGCCTTAAGTCCCAAACGCCGGACCGGGACCGGAAACAGCAAAACCAGAAACTAGGAGAAAACGAGCCGGCCTCCGGGCCCCGGAGGCGGAAACGCGCAGGGAGGACGCAGGAAGCGCCGCGCCGCCGCCTCCCACCCGCAGGACGTCGCCCTCCCAGAGC